AGTATGCCTCTTAAAGGCGCCGTCGTCTGTAAAAAGAGGTGTTGCCTGCGTTATAAAAAAGGGCTATTTCTTGTATGGCCACCATACAAAAAATCCCTCCCCCCCTCCATCCCTTTTAACATAAAAAAAACTCTGAATTCTGACTTTTTCTTTCTGTTCAGTATTATTATTTTTGTTGAACAGTTAACAGCTGGTTTGCACATTGCATATTAATATTCAGTTATTTTTTAAATGAAAGTGCTTTTAAGCATTATTTGCTTTGGTTATGCACTAGAAACTCAGTTGAGGTACATTTTCTAATTTTGTACTACGTATCCATGCTGGTATTCTCAAGACCACAGCCATATCTGCACACCACTCATTATTCGCTGCGATTAAAACTGGGCTCATATGGAGCCACTGTACGTAGAGTATGGTCTGAATTGAAAGCGCAACCGACGCTAATTTCATATCAACTTCCAAGTCATTTTATATAATTGTGAGGATAAAGGTTTGCTTTGAATCCTCTTTTTTTAGTGTGTATGCTGTTTGTTGCAGATGACCTTTACAGCGTCACCGGGTTTGGGGACCGCGAGATCCTAAAGGGACCTCAAGCCGAGAAATGGCGAGTGCTTCTAGAGGTATTCCATGCGGATGGCATAGCCCCGCCGGGGGAGTTGTCTCCTGTGTGGTAGGAGTCGGAGGTGTGTTGGCGCGCGTGATTTCGTCGTACTCGGGGTACTCTAAGACGTGCCAAGGCCGACGGAATCGGATGAATCAGAACCCTCGGTGCAAGCAAGGGTCTATATAATGAGGGTTTTCTGAAATGACGAGCGCCAGGTGGCAGCACTGAGGCGAATATCTACTCATCCGTCAAATCGAATATGTTGTCATAGTCTATGAATCAATTTAAATTCTCGTTCGATTAGTTCGCGCCAAAAACTTCATACAAAAGACCTTACCGCACAGTGGCGCGTCATTAGATTATTTAATAATTATGGTCATTTTTTTTTTGTTTTGTGAAAAGGACAAACATAAGGTGCGTCAAAGTCCCTTACTTTGACGCGCCTTATGGCGCTAGGGGGGCTAGTGACGTCACTTGTAAGTGAAAATTGTGCCAAGACATGACACCATGCGACATTTTACAATCAATATATCTCAGTAATTTTTTGATTAGGTACCTATGTGGAAAAAGAAAAAACTACATGTTCAATACTTTTTGATAATCTAAAAATATATCGTACTTACTATATTTTTATAGTTTTGGAACGTGCTAAGTACCTACCTATATGCAATGTAGAGCGGCAATATTTTAAGACCACTGCTCATAGTAATTCAAATCCCACAAGCAGAACATAAGTTTTTTTTTTAAATAACTTCGATAGAAAGAGAATGGGATTTAGATTGGAGGGCGCTGTAGTGTTTTTCTACCGTATTTGTAAGGTTTTACCCCTTTTAGACATGATTAAATACAAAAAACCGCAAGAAATCACGACAACATACAAATTGGTATCAATCGTACAAAACTTTGACGTTTTACAGATTGCTGGTTTTGATTGCCAAATAAAAATCTTAATGTTAGTTCCGTTTTTCGCCATGCCTATTCTCTTTCCGCACAGACTCTAGTAGTAATTATCATCATTAGCCGATGGCTGGCTACTGCTGGACATAGGCCTCCTCGAGGTACTTCTATACACAGCAGTCCTGCGCTTCCCGCATCCAATGGGTCCCCCCAACTCGCTTGATGTCGTCAGTCTACCTGGTGAGGGGTCTACCGGCAATGCGCTTCCCGGTGCGAGGTCGCCATTAAAGCACCTTGTGACCTTAACATCCATCGGTTCGCCGAACTATCCTATTGCCACTTCAGCTTTGCGATCCATTGAGCTATGTTGGTTATTCTAGTTCTTGTACGGATTTGCTCATTCCTAATTTGATCATGTAGAGAAACACGTTTTACCACGTACGACAAAACTGTGGAATATATTGTCGCCCACGAATACGATCCACAAACCTTCAAAAAAAGAGCGTACTCCTTCCTTAAAGGCCGGCATCGCATTTGTGATACTCCTGGTGCTGCAAGTGTCCATGGGTGACGGTGATCACTTACCATCAGGTGAGCCGTCTGCTCGTATGCCCCCTATAACATAAAAAAAAACACGTTTCTCTACGATATAAAGCGAGAGAGACAAACCTCTTAACAATCCATGAGAGATTCACCGTGAAGGTGCCGAGTCCATCGTATGAGACAGAGAGAAACTCTGAGCAGCTCCCGGAACTTGCGATCCAGATGTAGGTTTAAGGAGGCCCCTTTTGAGAAGCGCATCAACGCTCACTCTCACTACTCAACATGTTCGTTGCCCCCTCTTCCTAACCAAATTTGACAGTAGCCTGTTAGTGCATCCTTAGTTATTCGTTCCAAAATTGAACTTACTGCAGTTATCGCAAGGCCAAGGTTTTTAGAGTGTAATAGAGAGATTTTGCTCGTATACCTCTCGCTACTTCTTCTACCGCATCTCTTATCTATTATACAAGTCCGTCCGTCCGTCCGTCCGTCTGTCTGTGGTGCTGTTTCAGCGGCCAAACCGTAAGAGATAGATAAAGAGAATGTTTAAGTTATAAGTTAAGAATAGTCTGATAAGACTACAAACCGGATTTGAGTAACGTAGCACTTCCGGTTTTCGAGAAATCACGAATTTCAAACGAAACCACACAAAATCTCCGAAGTTCTCAATTAATTAAATACATTTTTTTTTTTTTTAGGTTTTGGTGAACATTTGGTTCACTGGTTTACTAGTATAAATATAAATAGAGGAGGAAAACACAAATTTAGATAGAAGCAAAACCAAAACCGCTAGCGCTAATGCCATAGGATCATTTAAGTATGGAACAGCTTCGGCCGAGCCTGTGTTTAATCATCACCTCTGTGCGGTGTGTTTTCTAAACAATAAAACGAACGATATATGCCTCGGCCCAGCATAAACAAAGACAAATATTTAATAGCTGTACCCTCGGGCGGTACTTGATTGCTTTTGTGCTTATTTCTAATTTATATTTTCACTGATGCTAGAGTGACATTGTACTATGTGTATTTATTAATTTAATTTTAATCGTATACATATTTTGTTCTATGTTTCGAGAAATTCTAAAGCGGCACGAATCTTTCTCTCCTCAAGAGGTGTAGACAGTGGTCTTCTTTCTATTGCTTTAAAAAATAATGCAAACTCCAAAATTAAAAAATATAAATCGATTAAATTAGCTGTAGGATTATTAATGGAAATAATAAGCTTGCGGTAATGCACGTAGTTTTAAAATAGCTGCGATTTTTGAAGTTTAAAGTGAGCTATTAAACTGGTACAGTAACAAAGGGTTGTCCTCTGGAAGGTAGAGATTCTTATTCCCTTTCTTTAGTTCTGTTGGGTTCCCTATGGGCACGGAAATCTAAAAAAATAAAAAGCGAGTGTGCTTATGACCACCCCACTGAAGTGAAACTTCTTTAGCTCCATCTGTATGTTTAAATATATGTTTATATGTGTGTGTACAATAAAAAAATAAAAAGCGAGTGTGCTTATGACCAAATAATTTATGTATATGTACATGTATGTACATATACATATATTAATTTTCTACAAATATTTAAATTTATTTTATGTTTTCATTGTTAAATAAAAAAAGTCTAATTTTCCAATTGCTAATTTCCGCGCCGCTCCCTGGTTTTTTTCATTACCTGAAGATTTGTTGATAGAAAAAAATAAACATCCACCGTATGTTTCAATGGAGTAGAATACTAAATTTTTATTGATTGTTGATAAATTACGGCGTGTAATTATTAAAAAAAACCTATTTCAATAGTTAACATCAAGTAAAAATGTAAGTTAGCACTAGATTTATGTATTTTGTGACGGGTATTATTCATTGTTTACCGATGAGCCACCGATGACACTATTCGTAACGCATAATATAAAGCATTCGCTAGCTTACCCTCAAGTCAAGTGAGCCTTGAGAAATTTCACTTAAAAAAAATTGCAATTTCAATTCCAAAGCATTCACAATACATTTTTTTAAGTATGACAACGACTAAGCCCCCTTAACAAACAGAGCCCTAGCAAACTAGACCTTCACACTACATACAATATGTATTTATAAACAATACTATTACATTATAGCAGCATTGTATATGTAAGAGGCTTAGGAGAAGCTCATAAGAGCTTAATGTCAATTACCCGATACAGTAATTTATAAGGGCCCCGCGGTGTGAGGCGTGCGTTATTTATTACCACTGTAACCCGCATAATAAGATAGCTTGACACCATTGGATAAAGTTATGAGTAAGTAACGTCTGTTTCTCAGCTACGTGTAGTTCTCGAGCTCTAAAGAACAATATATCTTTAACCTCTTTTTTTAATTGTTACCTAAAATTGTGTGGCACAGTACGTAATATTGGTATGTCATCCCGGTTTTGTGTTTTGCCTTCTTTTACCTTACTAACTGTGATGAGGAGCTCGATGGCGCGAGTGGTTAGCGCGTTCGGCTGCGATCGTTGAAGTTCAGCAACTTTCGCAGTGGTCAGTCATTGGATGGGTGACCAAAAATTTACTATCTCGAGCTCCTCCGTGCTTTGGAAGGCACGTTAAGCCGTTGCTCTCGGCTGCATCTGCAGTCGTTAGTACCCACCAGTCCGCACTGGGCCCGCGTGGTGGGTCATGGCCCAATCTTCCTTTTACATCCATAGGGAAGGCCTGTACCCCAACAGTGGGGACATTAATAGGCTGATGATGATGATGATTAAGTGTGACTAATGCTTTTGCTAATATGTATAAAGAGCACCAAAATATTCCATCCTGGAGTAAAGTTCGAGAAGAACATTCATTTGCTCTTTGGAAATATAAGGGAATATTCCCAGTAGAATCTTTGATAATATCGCCTGTAAATTTCCAACATAACAAGGATTTACCTATAAATTGACGTTTTTCATGAAATAAGTTACTGCCCTTTTTTCTATATTTTTAATTTTAATTTAATCACAGTATTTACCCATCCAATCACTGCATTTTCGTCAACGTAGTGGTAGCTTATTGATGCCCTTTTTGAAAAAGTCTGCTGGACGGGAGGCAACAAATTTATCTAAGGCATTTTAAAACAGCTTCTCGGCTAACGATTCGATATCGATTTCCTCCCCAAGAAGTTAATATATTCCCGGAATTGGCTTCACTTTCCTGAAATACTCAAAGTTCACCTTTAAGTTTAGAAGCCAGAACGCTAACTGTATGTCACTGCGATCAAGATAATATTTCTATGCAATTAAAGATAATATTTCTATTTCAAATTATTTTCAGAAAAAAACGAAAGCAACATGACTTTACAACGCGCTCACTATGCTTAACTAAGTACCTAGGGACTACACAAAAGACATAGGATTACATGTTAAAGACATCTTGTTTTCCTGTACCATGTGTCTGTAATATCCGCCCCAAAGACGGTACAGGCGGCAAATCAAGAAAGTTCGTCAACTTTGCTCGCAGTCTCACAGAAGGTACACAAGCAAGTTTGAAGACTGAGAGACAAGACAAGACTCGAACTCGAAGAAGATTGTACCTAATTATATACACTGTTTATTGAGTACGTTAATACACTGTCTTTTTCTATTAGAAATTTTATAGACCATTAGAGTTGGGGAGGCATAGGATAGATAATATAGATTAGACTAAACATAAACCTAATAAAATAAAACCATAAGCACACTTTTAAGACGACACATCTGCTTTTAGTTAGGCCTAAATAAGCCTTTACTCAAACACTATAGTGGTAATAGATTCTAAAATCACTCGTATAAGTTGATGAATTTTACTATCTGCTCAGCACAGTTAAGTGATTTATATTTATGTTTTCCTTTCTCTCCCTTTCCTGAATAAAATTCTATTATTTTCTTTATGATCCACGTGCACCTGGATATCTAAAATCTCGTTTTCAGTTCCTGATATCTTCTCATCAATTAAATCTTCGTTCTCGTTAAGTTGATGTTAATTATTGTTTGATGTTAACTCTCTTTTTTTTATTCTTTGCCTTTATATTCGCTCTGCACGTTCTTTCCGGTTGCCTGGTAGGGAATGGGCCATATGGCATTAAGTCCGCCATTTGCATATAAGGCAATAAAGATTAAATAAATAAAAAAAAAAATAATTGTTTTAAATATTCGGACGTCTATTACAACTAATTAGATAATATATAAAGTAGTGTTTTCTTGTTGCGATATGTAAAGTTGCCAGAAATCCTCAAGAGGATTCAAGTTGGTAAAATAAGGGATGTTTTACTTTTGCACTCTCACTAAAGTAGGCTAAAAAATGAATGGGAAAAGTTCGTTACCACAAATAAAAAACTGTTTCAACAGTCAGCATTTTATCTTCATCAGCAAATTTTGTCGTTTAAAGTATAAATTAATCACAGCACTTATTAACGACAAAACAAATATGACCATTAAAACAGGAATATTTCAGTCCTTCATTATCATTTAATTCCAAAACTTCATCCTCTTCTAACAGCAATGGATGGTTATTCATTTGATTTCAAAAATATAATTTGTTGTGTGACTATAATGATATTTGGGCATTAGATCTTCGATGATTGTTTCAATTTACTTCTGGATGTTTAGGATAATCTGAACTAGGGCGGAAGATGAAGGAGGATTGACAGGCGCAGGATTTTCGGGAACGGGCTGAATGACGACGGGGCTAGGAACGATGGGGGTTTCTGGAATGGGTTGGATGGCGATGGGGTCAGGAATTATGGGGCTTCCGGGAATAGGGTGGATGATGATAGGGCTAGGAACGATGGGAGTTTCTGGAATGGGTTGGATGGCGATGGGGTCAGGAATTATGGGGCTTCCGGGAATAGGTTGGATGGCGATAGGGTCAGGAATAATGGGGCTTCCGGGAATAGGTTGGATGGCGATGGGGTCAGGAATAACAGGACTTCCGGGAACAGGTAGGATGGCGATAGGGTCAGGAATTATGGGGCTTCCGGGAATAGGTTGGATGGCGATAGGGTTCGGAATTATGGGATTTCCAGGGTTAGGGACCTGAGTGGGGTCGAACATCCGATTGGGGGCCGCAGCAGCAACGGCCACTAGGGCAGCAGTCAACAGAAGGAATTTCATATTATCTGAAAAGGAACCGTTTGTTATAATAGATCATGGTTTGAAATAAGTTAGTGGAATATAAATTAAGTGAAAAATCAAAATAAACAGTTGGTGAATATTATATTATGGAATTTAAGGTAATAAAAGCAAATAATGATGATAATGAAATACACTATCTTGTTGAACAAGATAGGTAGATACTTATTAATATATTTGTTAATCACTTTAAATACTAATCATTACTGAATCTAAACTTTAAGTCTAAAAACTGTTCTTAGAAATTACATGACTCCTATCGTTAAAACTATTGAGTCTCCAATAAAGGACTTAAAACATACCTTTTTATGTTTCTTCGATCTGAAACTATTACGATTTTACTTTAAATCATCCATATATACTTTTTCGTTATCATTATCAACAAAGTCATTTTAATCATTTATGATCTTTAAATCCATACTTATGATAGATAATATTAGAGGAAACCTGTTTTCATTATTAAAATACATTAGTAGCATTGTTATCAATAAACTAACGTTCCTGCTGATAAAGATTCTTCGAATCCTCGTCCTATAGTTCCAGGCCTATCTATAATCTAAAAGAATACCTGTGTAATTTATACATATAAAACTCAAAGGTGACTGACTGACATAGTGATCTATCAACGCACAGCCCAAACCACTGGACGGATCGGGCTGAAATTTGGCATGCAGGTAGATGTTATGACGTAGGCATCCGCTAAAAAAATATTTTGATCAATTCTACCCCCAAGGGGATAAAATAGGGAATGAAAGTTTGTATGAAACTTTGTCAATTTTAAACCGATCGGGCTGAGACTTTGCATGCAGGTATAAGAAGAATCATAGATGAATGTCATTGTGTATAATACAAGCCTGAGAACAAAAACTGTAGTCTACACTTCAGCTCTACACCGAAGCGAAGCGAGGGCGGGCCGCTAGTTTTTAATATAAATTCGATGATTACAAGCGATCCCTGTTACCTATCTTGGAATTAACTGAGACAGATAAAAAGAAACCAATATCCTATTGATTTATTACGAGCTTAAATAAAAAAATGCGTCGATAATCTTTCTTTGTATTTTTATCAAAATATCCGTATTATTCATAACTTCATAACGAATCAGCATTATATTTTTGTGTGCCAGTGGTAAAACGTATGCGACTAGGTATATTTTTTGCAAACATTTTTTTTCCTTAATTTGCCTTGACTTTATTGGTGTGAATAGAAGTGTTCGCTGAATGTAAAATGTAACATAATATTGGCTTTTAAGTAACATAAATTTAAACTGTGTTGAGCGAGTTGAGTGATATAGGTATTTCATGTAGAAATTTAAGTATTGTGAATACGAACGCGTACGCAGGCGTTCAGCTAGATTCATAACAGATTATTTCTGTGTTTTATTTTTATTTTGGGGATTCATTATGTACATCGACTCCATAATTGATATAGGTAGCGTCGTAATATATGTATATATATCATCTTTTAGTATCTATACATTATTTAAAATGTTGGACGTTTGTTATTGACACTTATCGTCTATAAAAATGTATTCAAATCAAGAACTAAATTAAATAATATGAAATCTCTTAGGCTTCCAGAAATAACCAAATTAAAATCTTTCATAAAACGGGAATTTGCCTGGAACTAACCTAAATGAACTACCAAAGCCATGTATCTTATCTTAATCGAAAATGATAATAAAAAACCAGCCAAGTGCGTGTCGTGCCGCGCGCAGTGTAAGGTTCCGTAGTTATCACAATATATTTGAGCAGGAGTTTTTCTTTCTATATCCAAAATTAGAAGAATTAATATCAATCTATCTGAACTAAAATACCTAAATCAAAGTCAAACTGCGTCTCAAACTCGAAATCAATTCGATATAATATACACAGTCAGGTCATAAGTATTGTCACACAGTAAAAACTTTTCTGTTAGAATGCTGGCCACAAAAAGTTTATTGAATTCGAATTTCGAATTGTTCATAAAAATAAAAATATATACTTTTTAGAATTTTACTCATTTTTAAATATGGAGTGAACGCTTAAAGAAGACCGTGTTGCAGTTATTGCGTTGCATCGTTGCGGTTACACGCTAATTCAAATTTTTGACATACTGAAAAATTTTAATATAACTAAAAGATTCGTTTATCGTACCATAAACGATACAATGAAGACGCTAATGTAGATGTCAGGTCAAGAAGTGGTCGCCCTCGGTCTGTTAGGACTCCAGCAGTGATAAAAGCTGTGAAGGCGCGAATTCAAGATGGGTTAACCCCATCAGAACCACGGTGAAAAGGGTGTTAAATGAAGACTTAGGGCTTCGGGAATATCGAAGAAAAACAGGACGTTTGACGTCGTTGGAATGCTCGTCTAATGAACCTGAGACTGAAGAGATGCCGCGCTTTGTTGAAGCGGTACGCGGGAAAAAAATATCGAAAATTCTTTTTTCGGGTGAAAAAATTTTTACCGTAGAAGAGAGCTACAACAAACAAAATGATAAGGTGTACGCACACAGTAGTGAAGAAGCGAGCAACCGTATTCCGCGTGTCCAACGAGGTCATTTTCCATTCTCGCTCAAAGTATGGTTGGGAGTTTCTTATTGGGGCTTAACAGAGGTACATTTTTGTGAGAAAGGTGTAAAAACGAATGCAGTTGTGTATCAAAATACAGTCCTGACGAACCTTGTGGAACGTGTTTGTCATACCATGTGCAATAACAGGCACTGGGTATTCCAACAAGATTCGGATTCTCATAGAGCGAAGAGCACACAAGACTGGCTGACGGCGCGTGAAATCGACTTCATCCGGCACGAAGACTGGCCCTCCTCCAGTCCAGATTTGAGTCCGGTAGATAACAAGATATGGCAACACTTGGAGGAAAAGGCGTGCTCAAAGCCTCATCCCAATTTGGAGTCACTCAAGACATCCTTGATTAAGGCAGCCGCCGATATTGACATAGACCTCGTTCGTGCTGCGATAGATGACTGACCGCGCAGATTGAAGGCCTGTATTCAAAATCACGGAGGTCTTTTTGAATAAACTATATTGTTATAAGAATCTATGTTTTGTAAAGTTCATTTTGGTATATAAATGGTTACATAATGAATAAACTTGTTTCAATTATTTTATATTAAACATGTGACAGAATTTATGACCTGACTAGGTATACTTATATTATAAAGAGGAAAGATTTGATTCTAGGCTCCAAAACTCCAAAACTACGGGACCGATTCGAAAAAATATTTCTCATTTATAATCCTACATTATCCGTGTCGAACATAGGCTATAGTGTATTTTCAAAAAAAAAATAGGTTTCCGTATGAAAACTTCGACAATGTAACCCAACGTGTGTAAAAATACCAAAAAAGAACCTTATATCGCGTACGCTGCAGAATTCATTGACAATAGAGCAAAGTGATACACTAAAGTTTTATAGAGGACAACAATATCTATTAAACAATCCGCGATACTATAGGTCTAAACATTATAGTTAGAGCTAGAGATCCCTTGCGGTTTCACCCGCGTTAATTTACCCAGCGCACGCAATGGAATCTCAGAAATTGAATATTTTTACCCGTTTTTGCAACAAATTTCATCGATGCCCCGCTGCTACTGTATGTACTTTTGTTTTCGTAGATATGCATAAATATATAGCTACAAAATATGGACTACTTTAATAGCATAATAATAAACAGTCACCAGAAAGTCTTAAAAATCTTGAAGTAGTTTTATTTAACTAAATAATTCAAGTACCACAAAAATAAAATGATGCAGTTACACTGAACCAAGGAAATGCTACTTAAAGACAATGTAATCTCAGTGATTTTTGGCGCAGCAACTATGTGCTTTTACGATCTCTATAGTATTATCATAAAAATGGACTTTATGGAATGGACGGACAGTATGAGAACACATCTAGTGCTCCACCCCCGACTTCGCCTTCTCTTAGTCGTCGAAATTCAAAATAGAAATTGCAATGCACTACAGCTTTCAAATTTGCAGCTCCAATGGATGTGTTGGATTTTTTTTTATTGTCTTTAATTATTGTGATTATGAAAACACCGCCAACCCCCGGCCTCTTAGTGACTGTTTGCGAAGTCAACATATTAATGAAGGTTTGACGGTATTAAGTAAGTAACCTACATCCTTCCAAACAAATATTTCATATGAATAGAACCAGTAACAGTACCTAATACTTAAACGAATATTTACAGTCCGAGGATGCCTTACCACATAAAGGCAACGCTAAATCTCATGATTCATGTTTTGTTACTTTACCCATATCATAAATACAATATTTTACACGGTCAGGTCTCAGATGCATAGAAAATAATTCATTTATTGCTGACGACTGCCGTGGCCGAGTGGTACATACGCCGGGTTTCATGGCTTCGTCTACCCAGAGGGTTCGAATCCCGGGATTCCCCACCGGTGGGGGGAAATGATAATTACGAGCATTTGTACAACAAAAACTTGCTTTTTTCCTTATTTCTAGATAAAATATACTTATATATTTATAAATATGTATGAGTATATTCTATTCTTTCCTCTAGCATTTCATCATAACACAAGCCTTACAGTGCTTACTTTGGAGCTAGGCTAATTGATGTTAGTGTGGGAAATATTTAATTATTATTTATTGCTTCTTCAAGACACTTAAGGCAGATAAATATATTCCCGTCAAATGTCAATATGGTTCTCTGAATCTCTTGAAATAAGCTACATAAAAGGAGATTAATAAAAACAAACTAGGTCATTTCTTTATTGTATTTATCAATAATACATTAGAAATCATTTATAATTTGAATATGTAAAGTGATTGGATACTTAAAAAGCGAAAGGAAATTAATGTTTCTACTAGTTACGTCGCCTTAACAACATGGCAAAGTTTGGAATTCCAAAATTAGGGTAGGTATGCAGTTCGCTCGCTCGTCAACATTGTGCCATGGAATATAATTATATTGATTTTCAATCAGCCGAAACAAGTAGCAGCTCATGAAATCGGGGATGGCTTCAACACAGATTCAAATCTCTATCTTTCGAAGATGCAGAATTCACGAATGGTAAGAATATTAAATTTTGTTCTGAGCAAAATTCGCCTGTGAATTTCGTCTTTTATGAGCACTGTACGGTGCAGATTCCGAATATGGTACTGGAAGTTGTAAATTCGAATCCTGCTGCGGTTAAGTGTGTTCGTTATCAAAATAAAACATGATATTTTAAAATATAACGAATTGGAGAAGACATTAAATGAAAAGAGTTCCAGATATAGAGTTCATCAGTGAAAAAATAGATTCAAACACCTAATAAATAAATGAAATTAAATTCTGCCATGAATGAATGTCCCGGATACAAGAGAGTTCTGCAATCAAAAATCATGGTATCATGGTAGAGTCTGTGCGGAAAGAGAATGGGCATGGCGAAAAACGGAA